GGAGCAGCGCTCCGCTCCGCGGGGCGCCATGGGGCGGGCGGGCCGCCGGCTGCCCGCGCTGGCAGCGCTCTTCTACGGGGCACTGGCGGCCCTGGTGCTGCTGGGCGTGCGGGACGTGATGTTCCTCTACGAGGAGAACCGGTGCAGCATGACCTACATGTACGAGTACCCCGAGTACCTGGTGAGTGCGGCGGGTGTAACAGGTGGGACCTGCCGCTCCCGGAGCGTTGCCGCCCGCCCTGCCGCGGCCGGAGCCCGGAGCCGGGAGCCTGAGGCGCAGCTCCCCCGGGGAGGGAGAACAGCCCCGAGCTCGGGGCTCGCCGCCGTGCTGGAGCGGAGAGGGGTAAATGGGGCACGGGCAGCTGGGGCGTGAGCGGGGCCGGGCTGGCAGGACGCGCTGCTGTGCCCGCGTCGTGTGGCGGTGCCCCTCAGGGCGAGAGAGCGGCCGAAGAGCTGCCCACCTGTAACCCTGCGGGGCGTTTGGTGCTGCCGCCGTGCAGAACGTGCCCGCGATCGGAGCTGCCAGTGCCTGGAGCTCCGTGTGGCTCTGTGGAACCCAGCAGCTCGCACGGGTGTTGGCCGAGGAAGGGGCTGGGCCAGCTCCTGTGCCAGCCCTGGCAGCGCCCGGGAGGCCGAGCCTTGCACTTCATGGCCCTTGTCATGACTTCGTGGCGTGAGGTAACCAGCGTGTCAGAAAAGCGCAGAGCTGAGCTTTGAATGTTAGTGTATTTCTCAAGGTGGCGAGCAGTGGTGCAAAGTCTTCTTGGTGAGCACTTTGGAGGTGACATGTACATGGGAGAGCTTGTAAATCCCTCTGAGGTGCCTCTTGTTTTGCTAACAGCCTTGTAGAAGTCTCTTTGAAAACCTGAGATCGGTTTTAGAGAGGGGACTGCGCCTGGAACTGATGTTTTCCCCACACTATTCTAGCTTAGCAGTGGAAGGATGTAAATGCATATTTTTAAGTTCGCTGCTAATGCTGCAGCACGTAGTTGTTACAAAACTATTTCTCTTTTAGACAGTAGTAAATACTACAGCATTTTCTCTCTTATTAAAAGCATAATTGGTTGACTTCTGAGCATTCATTTTTCATTATCTGAGATCTAATTTATGTTGGAAAAAACAGTAATTATTCTAAATAACACAGTTCAGAAGTAGGTTGCAAGCTGGCTTGCACAATAAAGAAGTGTCTAAATTCAAGCTGGCTTGCACAATAAAGAAGTGTCTAAATTCAGTGTCTAAATTCATAATGAAGCAGAAAGTTCATTTTTGTATCTATTAACCTTCATTTTCTAACCTTGATATAACCATTTCAGCCTACGAAGGAGGAACTTAGTATGGCTACATGTTTTGTCAGTGATATAGAACAAATTTGTTTAAGTAGTTATAAGTACTTAAATACTGTGCAGCAAGTTTTCAGATCTCCTGGCAGCCAGCACCTACTTCAGCTTCAATCTGAAGCCAACCAACAGAAAGTTACTGGCAGAATCCGTGTGATGTTATTGGCGGGTGCCTGAAACTCTTGTCTGCCACCACATCTTTTGTATTTAGTCATTATGTAAGGGCTGAAACTCCAGGCATCTTTAGGCGGGATGCAAGGCTTAAAGGAGAGCTGCAGCTCCATGCAGGAGATGCAAGTCACAGCTGCTGTATTGCCCTCTGGAATTTCTGTTTCCCGTGGAATCGCTTTTACCGTGCAGAAAACAGCACTTTGGGCCGGGGGGCAAATTGTGAATTTGGGTTTGCTGTGGTGTTGTACTTCACAAGTGGCTCTTTATTGTTGGAGGTGTGTGTTGTGTGTGCAGCGCTGCCTTCAGTAGGAAACCCCAGGGTGGGAGGTGCGTGTCCTTGCTTCCGGATTGGAATCACATTACAAAACAAACAACTGCTCGAGCACTTAAACGAGAAGTTTAATTTCTTTTGTGCCCATCGGTGTGGGTTAGCTCCCAGTCAGCCTAGTAATTGATCATCTTTTTTTGCATGAGTTTTAGAATTGCAGTGTTTGAATTTAAGCTGCCCTCGTCCTGTTCAGCTGTACTTGGCAAGAGATTCAGAAGTTAGTAATGAGGACTTGTTCACATAAACCTAATTTCTTACAGAACCAGGGTGAAAAACCAAGCCTGCCCTGACATTATCAAAAGTTGCTGTAGCTTGCTACAACTGATTGCATAAGCAGTGTCTTGGGAATTCACAGTTTAAACCCACTGTCATGGAACATGAATGTCTCTTTTCCTTTGGAATTATACATTGCCCTTTTGTTACAATATTTAAATACTGTGATTTACCAAAAACCCCCCCAGCCTCCCATTGTTTTGACAGTAAAATTCTCATGGGTTGTGTGAGTTTTTGTGTTTGACAATGCCCCAAGGAAGAACAGCATGTTAATTTTATGTTCCATAAAACTTTTTGAAAAGACAATGAACCAGGAAGTTTCTGTGGATGAGCAGTTGATTTGATCTGTCAGGAAGTCATATAGGCACATCTTGGTGACACTCTTAGTTTTGTAATGGGAACTGCTGAAGGTTTTTTGACATACTTTTGGAAGCCTTTCCAAAAGGAGCAGCAGAAAGGAACAAGAATGGGACAGTGAGGTGAATGAGGCTGGAAAGGCAGGATGATGAAGAAAGGGAAAAGACCAAAGGATGATCTGAAGATAAGCCCTGAGTGAAGCTTAAATTTTCTTGTTCTCAGTGAAAGAATTTACCTCATACTCTCTATTGTGTTAATGAATGAAGATAATTAAAATACTGTAAATAATGCACACACATAGATATATCTCATAGAATAGAGATTTTATATTTTACATATATATATATATATAATCATAAAAATAGTTGGCAAATAACCAATATACCAAAAACTTTGAAGGCCAAGGGGGAAAGAAAATAGTAGGTGAGGAAAGATAGACAAGAGCAGGGGAAGGGAAGGAGTGTGGGGGCACAGAATTAAAGCTAAATCATCTTTTTGGTAGAGGCAGCTGAGGGAAAACAATAAATTACTTGAATTAAAGAGGCTTCTATTTCAGGGAAGCAATTAAGAGAGACTTTACAGGAGATTTCTGATACAAAACTGAGTTTAGTCTAGACCTTGTTCTGTAAAAGTGTTTTCTTGAAATACAAATTACACCTTAATACGTGTATGTTTGTATTATCTTATTTTTCTCTCAATTATTACATAATTGTAACATAGTTAATCAAATATTGGAATGAGTGTATTTGCACTCAAAAACTTTAAAAATCTGTATCTTAGAATTCTAAACCAACCAGCCTCTATGCAGGTGTTAAACCAAGATAGTAGTAAACAGGAGCACGTTTAATTAAGACAGTGTCTTATGACTCTAAGAGATTGACTTACTGGTGTAAGATTAATCCTCACCTAGCCCTTGGGATCAAAGAGATTTTGTTCTTTTCTCTTTGGGGATCCTAATCCTGTGAATCAGATGTGTGCTAGGTTAGTGGGTTGCTTGTTGTTGTTTAGGGACAGCTGACGTGTACGTTAGAGCTTGAGCTGTTCCAGAACCGGGCGCTTTGTCAGACCACAAACCCAGCTCTGAAAAGGAAACAGAAAAAGCCTCAGAGGACCATGGGTTTGTGTTTTCTGCTGAGCTGTATTGAGGTGGTAACTGCTGTTGTTTAAACTCCCACTGCAGGTGACATCTCTGTAGAACTCAGCTAGGAGAATTCCCACGAGCTCTGCAGTTTCCCCTGAGGTAGCAGGTGGCACCTGACAGTCACCCACATCCTGCTGCCCGTGTCCTTGTGCTGAGATCCATGGCCTTGGGCAGGGCTCCAGAGCCATTCCGGTGCATCCGGAATAGTTAGCATCACTCTTGTGCCCGTTTGTGCTCTCAGCTTCTCTCCTGGGAGAATTGGTGGGGTTTTGACATGAGGAATAGTTAGCATCACTCTTGTGCCCCTGTTTCTGCTCTCAGCTTCTCTCCTGGGAGAATTGGTGGGGTTTTGACATGCCTTTTTTTTTTTTTTTCTCCTTTCTCCCACCTGTGTTATAAGGCTGGATTGCTGGGTTTACTTTATGAATGTGCAGCTTTGATCGATACACAATTGCATTCATTTGTAGTTTGTTTCAAAGCTAGTTGAAGGTGATCGCTGTTTAGAGTAACTGCCCATTCTTTATGCCCAGTAAATTACTTAAACAATTTGTTTGATATTCCATTTTTAATTAGTTGGGTTTTTTTTTAAAGCCAACCCAGTTTTTCATTCTGTATTCTTTAGACTGTAATTGACAGCCATACAAATAAAACCACATATGCCAGATCATTTAAATGGCTGGATAGCCACTGTATTTTCCTGTTTGTAATTTATAAACAAGGTCTTTGTTTTCTTTTTAACTTTTGCAATAGAAAATAAAACTACCCAAGAAAATAGCCAGACGATACCCAGCATATGAGCTGTATCTCTATGGGGAAGGGAACTATGCTGAAGAAAACAAAAATCTCCTACTGACAGGAATTCCAGTTCTCTTTCTGCCTGGGAATGCTGGCAGCTACAAACAAGGTAAGTGTTTAGCTGAGTTATAGCTTTGTTACAAAAAAGCTCTCAGATTTGTGCATGTGGTAGTTTTCTGTTTGAAATAATACCAGACCGAGTCATAATGGTTGATCATATTAGTCTGTTTAATTCCAAGCAGTCAAGATACATGATTTTAGATATTAGTCTGTTTAATTCCAAACAGTCAAGATACATGATTTTAGTTTGAAATCAGTCGAATGGTTAAGCTGTAATATTTCTCTGGAGCAAGCTTTTTGAAAGCCAGAAACAGTACAGCTTATGCAGTTTATGCTCTGGCAGCACTGCATCCTTGCTGTACTTTTGATTGCAAACATCTAGTTGGTTTTGATTTGAACAATGTTTAGTGCAGTTAGTGCCAAATAAAACACGACCTGAATTTGATTAGGGCAAACTGAACCATCTGTCATCTGTGATGTAAAGGAATTACATGCTATAGAAATCAGCATCACCTAAGCTTGTCCTCTGGTTTCATTATTCCCTACATCTTTATATAGTGGTGTTTTTTCCTTAACGTTGTCTTCCCACCTTACACATAGCCTCTTTTGTTTTCCCTCTTACATTTCTAGTCTCCAAATGAAAGGCAAAATCATTTTAAAGCATTTTTATTTTTCTGAATACCAAAGCTAATGGTACATGAGGTTTTGTGTTTCAGTGCTTACTTTGGTACCTGCTATTCCTTCCAGTCTGGGTTTGTCAGACTGTTATTTTTGTTCCCTAAAATGTGCTTTGAAACAGTAAATAACACTCTCATGATGTTAGAAAATGGATGGGGGGTGGGGAGGTGGGGTGGAAAATAGCATAGTCTGAGCCCTGATTTCTTACTGTGATAATTTTTCCTTATATTAGCACTAAACTTGATGATTAAATTAGCTGATTTCAGAGAACCTTTAGAGAGCTGGGGTTTTTTGAGAATGTACTTGCTTAGCTTACAACAGTGTAAAATATTTTACCAATTAGTACTTTCAGAAAACCCATAGAGACTTCCAGGCACAATAGCATCCCAATAAGATTACAAACATAATGATTATGAGAGGTGCCATATGGACTTTTGTGATTGTGCATCAAATATTGCAAATCTGTGAATTAATGCTGTCTCTGAACACACGGCAGTACATCACTATGCAGGAAATAGAATGGTACTCTCAGGGCATTTTAGGAATCAGAAGGAAATATCTGAAGAACAAACTAACTAGGTGAGTAGAAGTGCTACATGCTATAGGAAAATAAATATTTTAGTAATGTTATTTTTGGAACGGATTTAGGGAGACTGGCAATACGTCATCTGTGCATTTTGGAAAACTTTTGTTAAAATTAATTCATATTAATTCTTTGTTCAGAATTTATTGTGAGATAACACAGTTTTATTCTGATGCCTGGATGAGCAGAGAAGGTGTTGCTATCGTAATTTTCATAGCTGTTTAAAATATATTCATTTTTGATAAGCAGTGAAGACAGGTACTGCTGCTGCTGCCTTTGCTGGCCTTGTTATTTTCATCGAATCATTTAGGTTGGAAAGGACCTTTGACATCATGGAATGCAAGCTTTAACCCAGCCAAGCCCATCACTAAGCCATGTCCCTGAGTGCCACATCTACACAGGTTTTAAATGCCTCCAGTGATGGCAACCCCACCACTACCTTGGGCAGCAAGTTCCAATGTCTGACCACCCTTCTGGGGAAGAAACATTTCCTGAGATCCAATATAAATATCCCCCAGTGCAACTTGAGGCCATTTCCTCTTGTCCTTTGACTTGAAAGAAGAGGCTCACTCACAACCCACCTTCAGGAGTTTTTGATGTGTTACAGACATTTTTGAAGTATTAATTCATCATCTTTCATGGGCACTAAAGTGAAATTTGTAAAATGTACAAAATTCAGACTTTGAGTAAAAGACAATCTGAGAAGGAGGGTTCTGCTGTTCTCTCAGCCTGTACTCTAGGAGAATCTTGCTCCTGTGTGCTGGATTTGGGCAGACCTTTATGACCATAATTTGTTGTTTTATATAGGCACTTTTGGGACTTTCTCTTTTGTTTTCTGCTTCTGCTACCATACCTTCTTATTTGCAGCTGTTATTGTTCCCATCCTGCATTGTCTCTGTGGAAACTTGGGAACAATTCTGCACACAAAAGGCTGTCTTGACTAGTAGCCCGGGTTAGACAAGGAAGACAGGTCAGAAAAAAAGACCTTGTAAAGTGAACATTTTCTCACTTGAATTTTAGATGGACAAGTGTCCTTTAAGGTTTGGTTTTGCAATCCCCCATACTTATCTTAGTGGTATTTGGGAATGTTGTCATAGAGTTGATGGCCTTCAAAGGAGTTTTAGGAAAGCCTAGCAGTAGGACTGCCTCTACAGTTGGGATCAAGAATGCCTTGTTCTCCTAGTGGCACTCAGAAGGTGCAAATGAGATGAGAAAAGCAGCCCTAAGGTGGAGGAACACGATTCTTACATAAATTTATTCCTGACATAAAATATCTCTGTTGTCAGCAGTAAACTGAAAAGAAAGGTTTGGTTTAGAATGTCTTTTATAAATTACTTGAGATGAACAATGGATTTAATGTATTTGTTTCTTATTTGATTATGTATTTATGTGTATTTCTGCTAAAGTGATGCTAAGCAGTGACTCTTGGGCTGTTCTGATTGCTGTGGTTTCTTTTTCTAGTACGTTCTCTTGGCTCCATTGCACTTAGAAAAGCAGAAGATGTTGACTTCAAGTATCATTTTAATTTCTTCAGTGTCAACTTTAATGAGGAGTTGGTTGCATTGTATGGTGGTAGCTTGCAACGGCAGACCAAGTTTGTGCATGAGTGCATAAAAGTAATTCTTAAGTTGTACAAGGTAAGTAGTGACACGTGCTGAGCAATGCATTTCCATTTGGGAATGGAATGCTGGGCTGCCTTTCCTGCTGCAAAACTGAGGGGTGATGAGTAGGGGAGGGAGACTTTATAATGTGTCTAGATATTAGAAGCTGATAGTAATGCAATAGAGAAGTACTTTTCTTTAATGGATTTTTAGTACTTTTGACAATCCCAGGGCTTTAAGGAGGTTCTGTGTTGTATTTCTAAATAAATACTTCTATGCACAATGGATGTCTTTTTCTAGTAGAGATGTAAACATCTGTAGCTTACTAAATTATTCAGATAGCATTGCCTTACATCAGGTTTTCTCTAGGAAAGTTCTTTGATGTCCTCTGTTCCTAAAAATTTCAGAAATTAAAATCAGCTTACGTTTACTAAGCTTACACAGGCTACACAGTATTTCCTTTTGGGCTGGATGCTTCATATTAAGCACATTTTTGTGAGATAGCAAATAAATTTTTATTCAGTTTGTAAGCTTGTTAAGTTGATGCTAATTTATGTTGTCCTTGAAGGACCATAAGTTAATTTGGGCAGGGTGGGAGAAATCTACAGCTAATAAGAACAGTTCAATGTCAAATCTGTTTCTCTGTTTGTGATGTGTCTGATTGCTCTTTGCTGCAGGATCGAGAATTTGCACCAAGCAGTGTAGCAATAGTTGGGCATTCCATGGGTGGTCTTGTTGCAAGAGCATTGCTCACTCTGAAGAATTTTAAGCCTGAACTTATAAACCTGCTCATTACACAAGCCACACCTCACGTTGCACCTGTAATGCCTTTAGACAAATACCTTACCGGTGAGTATTGCATTTGTGTAATCACGTGGTATTGCTTTAGTGATCCTCTCGAGCTTTGGTGGGGAGATTCTTGCAAATCAACAGCAAAATGTGCTGCTTTGTTTGCTGTAATGAATCTGTTCCTTTGTTACTCAGGTAGCTGAGAGTGCCAGGATACTCGGAGAAAGTCAAGCGTGTAGAATGGATTATGTGGACTTGAGTCTCCGTGCGAGGCCTGGAGCTCTCAATGATTTGTAATTTCATAAGTTGCAGGGCATGTTACTAAATTTGTAAGCCTTCCAATGAATGACGTATTTTCTTTCTTTATTTTCTCTTCTTATGAAACTTGACCTCTGTAATGACTTTTATCTTTATGGAATGAGTGTTAGTTCTGTAAAAGGTGATAAATTTAATGTTTTTCATACCTAAAGGTTGTACAACCGAGAATATAAATATAGATGTAATTACATGTTTTAAATATTCACAAAAAAGATCATATTTTCCCTCACCTAAATAAGTGTGGCATAAAAATGAAGTATAATCATTGCACATGTACTATACACTTCCTGAAAAGCTACTGATTAAATATGTGTTTAGTGATAGTTGTGCTGCTACATGTAGATACTGAGGGAATTGGTGAAGGAAAGGGAACAGACATGACTTTTCATTGTTCTCTGTGACACCCAAGAGGAATGAATTATCTTTAGCTGCTGGATTTGATTTATTGTGCTTGTATTAATTCTCCATCCTACAATTGATTTCAGTGCAATGTTTCTTCCTTACTGACTGTTTCTGGACTTCAAGTAAATCTGTGTCTGTCCTTCAAATAAACCTATGGATTGCTACTCTAACAATACATGTGCTCAGCTGATAAAGAAAATGTATGTCTTCCCTAACTGCTACCTCTTTGGGTTAAAACAATAATTTTCCTCTCTTACATGAATCAGAAGTGATAATCAGAGCTCAAATGTCTCCAAGGGGGCTTACAGAAACTTTTAGTTAATGTTTATATAGCTTTTTTTTTTTTTTTTTTGGTATATCAAATAGGCTTATGGGAAAATGATGATTGATTTTAATATATTTTATAGATTTTTATACAGCTGTAAACAATCATTGGATTCTAAAGGCCCAAGATTTAAGAAATTTAACTACCCTTTCTGTGGCGGGAGGATTCAGAGATTACCAAGTTCGTTCAGGACTGGCTTTTCTACCAAGATTGAGTCAACATGACAGTGCCTTATCTGTTGTGGTAAAAAAGCAAACTGTTTTTGGTTTTTTTTTTTTTTTTTTTGGTTTTGCATGGAACTGTGTTAGATAGTTATTAATGTAATGCATGTATCAGTGTCTATATGGGCAGCAAAGTGTAAATAAGTATGAAAATACTGCATGTTCAAACACTAGATGGATACTGTATGGTTATAAAACCAGAAGTAGTTGATGTAGTCTAAATGAGCCTCCACTGGAGGAGTATGTGTGGCACTGATTGGAATCATCTATCACTTGGTACTGTTTCTTCTGACCACCTGCTTGCACTTCTTCAGTTCCAGAACTCAGGTTTTATTTCCCTCTGTTTTTGCAAGAGATGTGTATATGGCGAAAGGTGAAGGTGTAGTGTAGAAGTAGAGTGTTTTATTATAAAAGAGAGCTCTGACATAGCACCTTCTTTTTTCAAAGAATTTAGGAATAGAAAGGATGTAGAGGATCATCAAGTCCAATTTTCTGCTTTTTGAGACATCTATCCTTTCAAAATTAATCAAGGGTCATCAAAAAGTATTTAGGCTTGTTGTTCTATCCCCTCTCCTTCAACTTGTTCCCTACATGGACAATGGAGAAGCTGGAAAACGCTCACAAGGAGGTGGCAAATTTGTACTTCCCAACTTCCATTTACTGCAGAAGCCAGTTTTTTAATGCCTTTCTTCTGACATCTGCTTAAAATGTTCTATGAAATAGCTGTCATTCCCTTGGTGTTTACCTCCCTGTGTGTTGTGCAGAAAGCTGTCTATAAATAGGCTCAGCTCAGATCCTGCTAGGCTGAGAGGATTAACTCTGCATTCCCTTTGTCCTAGTAACCCTTCTCTTCATCTGCTCTATTTTCATTTCTCTTGAGTGTTGGTAACCAGAATTTTGCATGAGATTTCCTGAGTAGTGGTACCAGCTCTTTCTGGATTTTGTTTGGTTTGTTTTGAAGGTTGTGTTGTGGTTGCTGTTGTTCAGTTTGGTTTTTTCCTTCCCCATGATGCGTTAATAGTTCATAGTTTGATTCATATTGAGCAATAGGTTGATGAGCTCCATTTGTGGGAGGTTTTTTTGATAGTGTTAGTCCCTAAAATGTAATACATGAAATCCATTTTAAGCAAGTAATACCTTCAGACTGACCGGGTCTTTTTTTGTGGTATTCTGATGGTTTTGCTGTTGAGGATGTCCTTGGTTTCTCAACAGCAGCTTTCATTGGCATGCTGCTGTTCTCATGTGCCAGGATCAGTTATTAAAATAGTAAGATTAGTCATAGAAGCAGTCTTTGAAGAAATTTTTGGTAAGTTTCCTCCTCTCCATTTTCTGCCCTTTCACCGTTAGTCTCCGCTATCTGACATAGATAGCTTGGTAATTTTGTTTTATCATTTCTACCTTGCACGTGCTTCAGTGCTTGCAAGGTGGGTGACTGAAGAAGTCATTCTGTTGTACCCTAAGTCCTGAAACTCTTAAGATAAAGGCTGTTCTTTTGTAATAATTTTGCAAATATGTTTTAATAAGGAGGGCAAAATTTCCCATATAATTTTAGAATGTTGAGTACTAACAAAAGTTTATTCTGTTGTACCCTAAGTCCTGAAAGTCTTAAGATAAAGGCTGTTCTTTTTAATAATTTTGCAAATATGTTATAATAAGGAGGGGAAAATTTCCCATATAATTTTAGAATGTTGAGTACTAACAAAAGTTTAATGCTTTGCTTCACCCAAACAGAGCTCAGCTGTGCCTAGAGCTTGGGCCTCAACTGACCATCTCTCCATAGTGTGGTAAGATAATGGAACAAAGGTTAATTGACTGACTCTTCTCCACTGTTATCACTTCATACCATAATTTAACTTCAGTTTAATATTATGGTGAAGTCTCTTCTGACCAGTTTTATCACCCTGGATCTTTCCTTTCTAGATTTAATTTTACTTATTCTGTCTTCTAGGTGCAAAGAACTGATCCTGGCTACCATTAGAGCTTTTTTTGATCTCATAGATGAAAATACAAGGCAGGTCTGTATATTTGATCTCTGTATATTTACCCATCACACTTTCTTCTTCCATCCCAGAATGTTTAATCATGAGAAATATCTTCCTATTCTACAGAAAACTCTTTTTTTTGATTATTCTAAGTCGCGCTGAGAAAGTTGTTTCAATTTTGTACCAGTCACCGGAAAATCCCTTTGTGTTGTTTGACCAAAGAGTCAGAAATAAGAAGGTGTTAGCTCAGTTTTCATTATAAAAATGAAATGCTTGATGTTTTATAGCTGAGCTGTGGGCTGAACATTTCTTCCACAAAGCAGCAGGTTCAGTTGACCTTGCACCAGGATAAACAAATTTTGTTAGATCTGTAGCTGTAAATTTGACCTCTCAATATGTGCATAAGAGCAGAGCCCAAGACACAGAAGAGGAAGGATTTTAGGTGTTCCTTCTGAGGCTTCTTGGGACAGACTCCTCTAGTTTTTCATGTGTGCTTAATTTAATGTGTGATTTATAGGGACAAAAAGAGCAGTACAGTTGTTCTGCAGCACTGACTGTGCTAGAGGGTTAAACTTCTCAGAAATCAGTTGTAGTGGCCAGTTTTGGAAGGTGGAATAGATAAAAATTAGTCCTGGAGGGCTTATTTGGAAAAAGCAAAACCAAACTGATCAAAAACCAAAAGAATCCCACCCAAAATCCCAAACAAAAGTGAGTCCCAGTGAGGCTATACATCTGGATATGAGAACTCAGATTAGCCTAAATGTGAGAATTTTTCTTAAGCTCTGGCCTGAGTGTCATTTCAGGAAGAGTGCATGTGTGTCTATAAAGAAAGTTTAATGGAATGGTTTCCTGGGGTTATGAGTAGGTGACACTGTAAAACTCCTGAAAGTTTTGGCTGTGCTTTATAATGTGTGGATTTTTTGTATTGCAGTGATTGACTATTGATGGTGCTTCAGAGCATTGAATTCAGAACAGAAAGGGCTCAATGTCTTCTAACAATCTCTCCTGCCTTCCCCCCACAAAACTGTATTGCTAGCTGTGATCAAGAGATGATCTTGAATCTCACACATTGGTAAAAAATGATAATCTGCTCTTGTTTTAGATAACTGAGGATCCAAAGAAAAGAATGTCTGTACTGAATCACCATTTTGTGAGACACCCTGCAAAGATGTTTGAGGAAAATCCTGAAGCTTTTACACACCTCACAGGTGAGCAGCAGTTTTCTTTTGAATAGGATTCAGTGATACTGCTTTGTTAATAGTTAATCTTCTCACTGACAAAGTTTCAGAATACACTTTGTCCTCCTTCAGACAAGCTAAAACGGTATACAGGTTATAGGCCTAAGCAATCTGCTTTTATTTGGTTTTGGTATTAAATTGGTTAACAAGGGTGAGTGCAAAAATCTGTCACTTTTATATAGCTCAGATTCTGAGGACTCATATTTACACCAGGTTGTCCAGCAGAAAATCTCAGAAACTGAGAATTGCTGGATGTCAAAAGGGCAGTCTTATCTACAGTGGTTGCAGGAGGGATTGGATGGGTGTTGCAGAGCCATTGTGGTAGTTTTGTGCTGCTCATGGAAATCCTGAATATTCAGATCTGCTCCATGAATCACTTCTTCCCATGACATGGCAGGGTGAAATGAACCGTTCACCAAGGGTTTCCTTGTAAAGTTCCTTCCTAAGGATGCAGAGTTAAAAGTGAGAGATTTTGACTGCCTGGAGTCTTAAGGACTAAACACAACTTTTGTAGGGCAAACCTTTATTTTGCTGAAGTGGGCTGAACTGTTTTCTACAAACCATTTTATTTCAGGAATATTCTCAGTGTAAGACATTGTAGAAGTACCAATGTAGCTTGTACTTTGGTGTCCAGTTTTGGGCACCCTCTTACATGAAAGCATTTGTTCATTGGCATCTCCTGAAATGAGTGTGGAGTAAAAGAGCACCAGAATGGGCAGTTCCTGGGGCATAGGAAATGGGCGAAAGAGGCTGAGTGAACGGAGGATTTTCACCCTGAAGAAAATGCTGAGGGGGATCATGTTGCTGTTTTTAACTACCTAATGAAGAATTGGAGAGAAGATGAAGTTAGATTTTTATCAGAGGTTTACAATGATAGCACAATTGGCAGTCAAAATCGTGTTGTAACAAATGACATTGTAATTAGGTATTAGGAAAAAATAATTCACCAGGAAGGTGGTCAAACACTAGAGCAGGTGCCCAGAGAGGTTGTGAAACTGATGTTTTGGGAGGGTTGCCTTTTTTTGGGTCAGTTTTTAGCAAAAAGAAGAAATGGTTTAAATTGGATTTCATGTTTCTGTCTTCCTATTCATGGTGACCTCTTGACAGTTAGCTGAATTTCTGTCATGAACTTGTTACTCTCCTCAAATAGAGGAAAGATACAACCTTTTTGCATGACAATTGGCATTATTTGTACTCTGATCTCTTCATTATTGTCTTACTCTTTTTCCCTAGCCAACTGCTCCTGGTTTTTTTGTGTGTTGTTGCTGATGTTGTTCTGCACAAGTTTCTGTATTAGCTTTCTAAAAGACTGACAGAAACAAAGATTGGGGCTGTTCTTAATGTTGCCTCATTATTAATCACTCACCCTACCATTACATGAATATAAGTCAGTTTATTTGTTTTGTTGCCTTTATTTTGTTTCAAGATCCATGGGGTTTTTATTTTGCCATTAGTAATTAGTAGCAGGATCCTAGGACTTTATTGTTTCCTGTGGAACTGATGATAACTGTTGCGTGTAACTGCAAGCAGTAGCAATTCTCAGTGTTGATTAAAGCACATAAGGTTTATATCCATATGTAGATAGGAGATAAGACCTTGGTGATCAGTAAAATACAAGATTTTGGATGTAAGGATAATTGTTCCTGCAGTGCAGCATACTGAAATACTTATTTTTAGGAGCTTTCAATTGGATTACAGTCAAAGCCTCAAAATGGACTTACTCAGTTTACAATGTAAGTAATATTTTTCCCGTTGTGTGTTTATGTTTTTGTTTTAGTTGTTTTGGTTGTTTTGTTGGGGGGGTTGTGTTGTTTATCTTTTTACTAATGAGTTGTGTTGGTTTTTTTTTTTTTAGGATTCTGATGGAAAATATTTTGCATTTCCTCTTGCAAGCCACAGAAAATCATACAGTCATGTTTACTGTGAAAATAGTATGTTGGTGAGAAAATACTTTTTTAACGTCTGGAATTCGTTTATAAAGATGTGATTTTTAATTTCCATTTGCTGCAGTCTTTAGGCAGTTAATGAGCAGCTGTTGAAATTGCTGCCATCCATTTACAGTCACAGCCTAATGCATGTCAGAGGTACTACCTGTTTTAGCATGCCACACTTAGTATTCAAGATCTGAAACCTTCAATGCCACCTGAGCCTCAAATGTTTTCTTTCTGATTCTTCTGGTAAGCTCTAGATTACTGTGTCCTTTAATTTAGTGCAGTTCTATATTGATGGTTTTGAAGGAAGAAGTTGTTTTTAGTGCTTCTGTGTTTTTGCCATACTTCTAATTTGGGAAAGCTGTTTATAGGTTTGCTTTCCCATAATAAAATTTAAATGAGCCTGAAAGGCTGAAGAGATCTTTCACTAAGGAGAGAAAGTGAATGGAAGACAGATGAGGAGACAGCATCATCTCAGTTGTCTCCTATGAAAAGGAAACACCATAATGTGCATTTCTTGTATTTTTAGCTTGAGACACATACATTCAGCCAATATTTTTTTTCAGTTTTTTAATACAAGAATGAATTTAATCTCTTGGGAAACTGAAGATGGATAAATACACTTTTCAGAATCGTGTATTTTACATTAGTGGCAAGAAAATTGAGATGCTTTCTTGTTTCATCCTGCCTGTCCCTGTTGCCACTCCTCCCCTTGCCAAAGATGGCATTCATACCACATTGTGCACAACAATTGTCTGTGCTTGGTGCTTTTGACATTGTCCTTCTCAGTGGCACCCTCAGTGTCTGCATGCATGTTGTGATCTTAGTTGTGCTTTGATAGGATACCTTTTGCCCTTGTTATACTGTCTGAAACACAAGCCTAGTACAGCTTGAGAGGAGGAGGGAGGTACAGACCAAATGTCTGAGAGCTGCACCGTGGTGCTGTTGCTTCGGAACACTTCATTTCTCAAGGGACGGAGCAGTAGAACGTTAAATATCTAAAGTATTCCTCTACTACCTAGAAGAGTACCTTGAGGTGTTTCTTTTAGTTAGAAGAGATTAAACATGATATGTAAGATGGATATTTTTAAAAGAGAATTTATGAAAGCTTGTTTGCTTAACTTTGTATTTATTCGTATAAAGGGTGGCAAATTGAAGTTATTTAAAATGGTTCCTAGAAACCCCCACCATTCACTCCAAAGCTTCACCTTTCTGTCCTTGCAATTACAATTGCAAGATTATGATATCAGTCCTTTAATTATCATCAGTTTTAACCCTTGCATTGGTTGAAGTAATCAGTATTTTTAATATATTTATAAATGCAATCACACCTAGGTAATGTAGTATTTTATGGTATTGACTTTACAGGACACAGGTAGCTGGATTTATGGCTGCATGAACACTAATTCATCAATGTGGTGAGTATGAACAATTCCTGTTCTTTATTCAAATGGGTTTTGTGAGACTGTGTTTGAATTTAATGTGTATAAATTATTCTTGGTAGGAAGGGATTGGGAAGTAAAATCATTACTGTAAATAATTCATGCTTTCTATATCACCAGGAAAACGGGAAAGAATAGCTTTTCTTAAAATAAGTGATATTCTTCTCCAGGGAGCTGTATTTTTGACCTTCATAGCAAGAGCTGGAGAGGGACCTTTCACAAGGGCATGAGGTGGCAGAACAAGGGGTAGTGGCTTTAAACTGGCAGGGCAGGTTTAGGTTGGATACTGGGGAGAAGTTGTTACTGTGAGGATGGTGAGGCATTGGAGCAGCTCCCCCACAGAGGCTGTGCTTGTCCCATCCCTGGAGATGTTCCAGGCCAGGCTGGATGGGGTCCTGAGTAACCTGGTCTAGTAGAGGGTGTCCCTGTCCACAGCACAGCTGTTGGAACTAGATGGTTTTTGATGTCCTTTTCAACCCATACCACTCTGTCATTCTGTTTCGTTAGAATTCTGTGACAAAAGAGGTCAAATGTCACACAGAGCCTTCAAAAGAGTGGATTAAAGCATCTCTTTCTTTTCTACTTCAAATTTGCTACTGTCATATGAAAAGTACTTAGAAGGGTGCGTGGTTTAGTGGTTATTTGTTATGACAGTCATTACACAATAGATTTAAAACATTGTCTTAGCTTAAATTTGTAAAATAAACTCAAATTCAATCTACCCTTCAAATGAGGGAAAGCTTCCAGGCAAAATTGAACTAGCAGAGTTTTTATCTGTTCTGGGATCACTGAGGTGTACAGCCAGAGTCTTGCCTCCAGCAGATAGCCAAATGTCACAATTACTTTTTCCTGATCCAAGAAGTTGGCTGTTACTCCTTTGCAGAGCCTTTGATCAGCATGAAGTGCACGTTACTAGTTCAGAACTGCTACTTAAACCTCATCTAACAATAGTGGGTTGGCTGTGAACTGTGTCCTGAGGTCATGAACACTAGAGAAGCAGCAGTATTCTGGTATTCAAATAACCAAAACCTGAAGTGACCAAATGGATGTGTTGCAGTTCAGTGTGTGAACACATTTTAGAACTGCTGCAAGGTCTTTAACAGCGAACAAAATTTCTTATTTATATATCTATTCTAGATATTTCCATAGGAAAATTGGTGCTTTTGATGTTTAACAGATGCTAATAAAAGTGCCTGATAATTCAGTGCTAGTGCAGTTTTAGCTCATGAAAAGTTTTCATTTTGTGTCTGAGCTGCCTGGCGAATATGTGCTGCAGGTTTTCTGTATGCAAGAGTTGGAGCTTTGCTTGGCTTGGTTTTGCACAAATAAGATTTGCGCTATCTGAAATTACTGTTGTTTGATAGATTACTGTGGTAGCAGTACACCCAAATTTCTTCTCAATTTAAAATGTTAATTCAGAGAGAAGGAGAGAAGCTGGTATATTAATCCAGTGCCATAATGCTGGGCCTGCATAATGAATATGCTCATCCTTTAATGTGCGTGAATTTTTACAGCCTGGAAGCTGCTGATTTATCCTGGAGAGCTGAGTTACTTCCAACCACCAAGGTAAGTGTGAACCTGACTTGTAGGAGGGAGAGGTGCTTCAGGGGGTGGTTGCAAGTCACAGAGGAAGGAGCTGTTCTGTTTGGAGCATTGGGACAGATTGTATTCCACAGGAAGAGGGTACAAGGGGTAGACAACTAGGAACTGGCAAGGGGCAAGCTAAGGGGTGTGTTCAGTAATGGTTTGCTACTTCCTTCTCTCTTTTTCTTTATTCCTTTCTTTTTAAGGTTATAATGCTGAAACTTCTGGACTATCCTTCTTTGTCCCACATTGTCATTCAGGTACCACCTGCAGCTGGCAATAAGGTAAAAAAATACGACATTCAGAAATTGCTTGCTTAGTGCATCCATAACTTTCAGGTGCTATGACAGGAGGAAAAAGAAGTATGTGCTAAGTTACTTTGAGAAACCATAGACCCACAGTGTAGTGCAGTTTGAAAGTAGCTTCTGTAAGCTGAGAAACGCTTTGATAAAATACCAAACAATAAGGCATGAACAGCACTTGAAACGTGTACAAAGACACAGTTCTCAAATCAGTTCTTAGAGTTCTTGTTGGAGATCCTAATGGTAATCTTCCTTGCTTTGCTTAGTACTCTGATTGTTTTCCTGAATGTGCATACCTTTGAACAGTCATTTCTCTTACCCAGGTTAGCAGAGAATACAGATAATTGAAGGCACCACACCTGGATTCTGGGAAGCATAGGTCAGATAGCTCTGCAAGCTCTTAAACCACAAATGATGTAGTAGACTGAGTTGTGCAGGGTTTAACAGTTTGAGTCTCACAAATAAGATGGGTGTCTTTGCATCAAGGGCTCCCAGTAAGAGGACATTGGAAGGCTTGGTGTGTTACCCATCTGGATCTGGCAGACTTTCAAGTTAGTCCTGAAATGGCAGAGTACTGAATTGGAATTTCCAGCCTAATCAGATCTGACATTGCTTTCTGTGACACAAATTCAGTCTCTGAGTCTGTAGTATATTAATCCAAGAAATTATTCACAGCACAAGAAATTATTCACAGTCCAAGAAATTATTCACAGCACAAGTGAGTGTGATGTTCTTCCTCACTTCTTCTCTGAGTGTATCTTCAGATAGTTGTGACAGAGGCATCTTGCAGGGAAACTAGTAATGCACAATTTTCAGGGTAAGCAAAGATAGAGGAGAGATCGCTTGGGAAATGTAATTTGGCAAGTACAAAGGCTTTCTAGTCTTGTGCTCTGGTTTAGATCTGTTTTTAATATCCTCAATTGCAGTATACTTTGGGCTGTGAATTCTTCAAGGAGGATTCCAGAACAGTCCAGCTCCCTGTAACACATCTTTTTTCATTTGGTAAGTATAGCATATTGCTTTCGGAAAAAATGGAAAACTAATATAACTAACCTTTGAATAATAAATTTGCCTAAAAATGTCAGGTTAGGAGGTTTTTGGGGCTTGTTTTTCACTAAAGGTAACACTGCTTTTGTTAGTAACAAAGAAATAAGAAATGTGGGGGTTTAGACTTACAGATATGAAAGTATGTAATTCTCCTGGAAAATAAATAATCTGAATATGTAGTGAGTTCTCAGATAATTTTATATAATAACTGAAAATATTGTATCCTTTCCAGGGTTTTCTTCAAGCAAAATTCTATTAAATTCAACTGGATTATTTTACAATGTACAACTCCAGCACTTCAACCAAGTAAGAATGCTACTTAAGTTTTTAAGGTCATGTAACCACTGCTTGTCTGGAGAAAAGTGAGTGAATTCTATTTTTTTGTGTTCTAGATATATCAAGCTTTCAAAATTTATATAGACAGTCACTGCCAGTCACTCAAAGGTAAATAGAAATCTTCTAAAGTACAAATTTATAAAAATTGCTGAAAATTTGTAGAAACTGAAGTCTTCTCATGCAACAATGGAGTTTAGGCAATGCTGCTGTGGTCTGTACAAATGCGTCTGCTAATATCTCTCACTTCCCACTTTAAGAAGGATGGATCAATGAAAATGAAGAATTAGTCTTTTAATGTTTGTTTTTCTTATTTCCCAGCAAAGGGACGTTGAATTTTCATTAGGATTCTGCCTTATATTGAAAATGTTTCTTGAGAAAAGCACATTTGCCTAGGATTTTTATTTGCTAATAACAGGACTCAAATTTGAATGTTGAGCTACATAAGCTTAAAGAGGATGGGTTGCTAAAGGACCCTGTTTCAAAAAAAAGAGAAAGTGATGAATTTTATTAGACTGAGGTTTTGTTTCATATTGAAAAGCAGAACTCTTCTCATAACTGTTCTTCCTTTAAACATTGATGTCTCACTGTCTTGTCCTGTAACAGCCTGAGTTTAACCATGTAATTTTTGTTTGCTGCTAACTGCTGTGATCTGCACTGCAATGTAAATGTAACTGCAAGCCCAGAGATTCTGTGTAGTGATCTGTGTGCCACCTTTGTTTTACTGACCCTGTAGTTTTTAGAGACAGTTCCCACATCTGGTTCTTAGTTAAGTTTATATTTTTTTATGCTGTTCCATTTCAGAAAGAAAACCAAGTGTTTACAGACTTCATATTCCCTGGTCATACGAAGACTCAATAACTGTAGTGAAGTAAGAACTTTAACAATTAATAACTTCTTGACATGTTTTTTGAAGAATATTTGCATCCTGTTGTGCTAATATTTCTGATGTGGGACAGACAGTTTCTCCAGTCTTAAGTGTTTGGCTTCTGCATCTTTTCCTTACCTTTCAGCCCTTGTTGACAAATTGTTCTGACTTTTCCTAGAATAAGAATACCTACTAATTGGTTGCTTAATGGCTCTCACTAATTTTCTTATAAAAGAAGTCAGATATGCTGGTCTGAAATTCTGAGGATAATCATTGCCCTTCTCATCAGTGGAGAACAATGGCTTCTCTGGATTCTGGCTTTCTCCTGGAAGCCAGGGTTTGGATTACACAGCAGCCCTATGTTTGCTTCAGCAGCATAGTCCTGACAAAATCAAATGATACAGCTGGAAATATATTTGTCACTTATGAAGTTGAACAACCTGACAGTATTTTAGATGGTAGGAAAACTGTATTTCTAGTTTATTTTAGGAGTCTTAAGGATACCTCACAATTTCCAGCTCCCTGTGTTTTCCAGCAGCATAATATTTGCAGGAAGCTGAATTGTGTTCTTGAGAATACATTCTTTCTGTTCCTGGCACTCAGCATATTTGCATGCTCTATGAGGCAGTGTGTTCACTGAACTCGTCTGCTTTCCTTAGCGCCATGTCCCAGGATAGTTCAGAGGAGAGGGAATTGAGGATGTTACGTAGTTCTTTGTGACAGGGTCAACAAGTTCCTTACACCATTTTGCTCACAGCTTGAGGTGACACTTGGTGTGGTAGATGTGCTTTAGGTGCACTTGTTGAAGACTGAGACACATTTGGTTTTCCTGCTTGGTCATAAGGACAGCAGTGACCATGTAAGTTGCTGTTTCAGAGTTCCATCTCTTGCTGAGATTTCTGCCAAACTGCACATGGCTCAGCCTCACGGCGACAGCAGCCTTCCAGAGTTAAACATCTACTCTTCCCCAGACTGTCAGTATGAAGTGAGTAAAACAGTTTTATTTTATAGCTAGTTGGCATTGCTGGATGATTTTTTGCATAATTCAGTCTTTTAAACCATAGCTAATTAATCTAAATAAATAGTAAGTGAATCTAAAGGTGGGCAGTTTGGCCTTTTTGACATTAGTGTATGTTACAAGTATTTTGCAACAGCTGGGTTAGTACTGAAGGTTGGACTCTAAAACTTTAAAGCATTTGCTTTTAATTGTCAATTGCAAGATGCTATACATTTTAGTTGTGGGATTGCTGTATTCTAGAACATAAGTTTGCTTGTTAAAAATTGAAGTATTTTCTACTTATGCTTACTATTGTATGAAACAATATATATTTTTTTTCAAGGTAATTCTGAAGACATCACTTCTACAGGTTCTTGGGCAAGTAAGAAAACCTAATACTAAATTGTTTTTTTTTATCTCAGTAGCATCTATAGAAATTTTTACGTCCTCCCTTCCTTACTGTGGCACTTCAGGTTCCTTCTTAATGCCAAGAGGAGCACTATTCAGTGATCATTTTGCAGAATTTCCCTTGGCAAGGATCCCTCCCGGATGAATGTCAGGCCCCTGTCCTTAGAGGAGCAGAAAAGCTCTCTAGCTCTAAAGAGCTGCTGTAAATGTGGAGTATGTGGCTTTGTGGTGAGCTCAATATCTGTAGGTCACTTTAACTTTCTTGCCTGATGAGTCAGTGGTGTTAAAACTTTAAAATACATTTGGCATCAATTAAGTTGGGGGAAAAAGTCTAAGTAGGTCCATATGCTCCTTCTGAACAAATCTTCTTTGGTTATCAATGAAGAATACATTTCGACATGGGGATCAGTAAAAATAGACTGGCCATCTGCAGTTCTCTGCATCTAAAGAGTAATTCATTTGCAAGCACCTAAGTGTAGTCTGGAATAGAACTGGCAAGATTCTCTATGTGAATGTGTACATTTAGAGAAAGGATTTTTCATTTTGTTGTTGTTTTACGAGAGTTTATAGGCTATTGGTATATTAATAATGACTTGAGATACTGGAAGCCAATTAATACATGCATATAATTCCTTCCAAAAGTTCTTTGCCTAAAAGCATATATAACTATATGCAGATTTTGCTTGGAAAGTGGCCTTTAAATTGTTTTAAACTTACTTTACTGAAATCTGATACTTGATTTTTTCATACTTGTCTTGACTGGGAAAAAAACCCCATTTGTTTCTAATTTGATCATTTATCCAAACCTGTTTCATTAGCTGCTTATGAGAGTTTCTAGTCTTTTCCATCTGTAACATTAATTGCTATTGGGCGTTATTAAATACGCATTAAAATGAGAAACTGAATCTTTCAAGAAATATATTCTAATCTCATTTTCATGGTAATATTTGTGTATGTGTTTTTTTAAATTTATTTTTATAAGAAGTGAAGTTATCCCTTCATCCTTGTCTTTCAGATAGTAAGATTCCATGCTGGTGCTTTTCCAGTCTATATTGTTTCTAATATTCTTCTTACTTATGGAGGACAACTGAGCACACTAAGATCAACAGGTAGCTTTCTAAAAATCTGTATATTTTTCTCTGTCACAAGTGTTTTTAGAGAAATTGCTTATTGAGTTTTAGTGATGAAAGACTAGATGTGAATTTTTCAAGCTAAACATCATTCAGCTTATGGAAATACTTGGATCTCCGTTCTTCTTTTTTATTTTTTCTTAGCTGGTAGTTCTTCAAGGTTGTGTTGTAGCAAAATATTTCTTTATTGTTTTAAATTGCAGTCCCTCTCTGTGAAATATCGGTGTTGCACAGTAGATTAGAATTACCAGAGGTCTACTTAAAAATACATGTAAAAGTTTAAAATACATTGTTAATGTGCAGAAAACACTGTTTCTTGCAGGAAGATGAGATTTTGAATTACAGCTTTGTTATGCTGTCATGTCTTCAGACAAAATGCATTTTTATTAAAATTCAGGGGGTGTTTGTAGCAAACTCCACAATGTCTCCAGTAGCTCATGTGCCTTATTACCTTAATGTGGGTGACCCAGTGGAGAAGGGCTTTGGTAGTTAAGTATGCAGCCTTGCAGTACTCTTAAAAGACATGGTTATCTTGTTTTCAAGTCAGCTCACCATTGTCTGAATTTTTATTTTGTTGTGGATGATGTTTGTTGAAGTTCATGCCATGGCAGTAACTACAGATGCTCTCTGTTCTTGATCCTAGGCCAGTGTTCAGACTTCTCCCTCGAACTAGTTAGGACAGCAAAGCCCTACAAAGTAGAACCTCTTATAAGCATTGTTGTGTTTCTGCAGGGGTGAGTTTGCATCATTTATTTGTTTAAAACAGTTTCCAAAACAGAAGTTTTAGTAAAACTGTTGCTAGGGAGGAGTATTATTTTATCTGTAGTCACTGTAAACACCTGACTGTTATTTTGCTTGTAAGACTGTAGTAGAAGGAGTACTTGATAGATATCTAACTGCAAGAGCAATTGGAAGTGATAAATAATACTGCTTTCATGTTTTTGGCAGGTTTAACTGGTTTAGAGAGATATGGGAATCACTGTCACTACCAGAGGTGGATGCTGCTGTACTGAGTAGTCAGGATGCATGGTTCCCCCTTGTGTCCCTGATTCTATTTCTTTTTGGGACAGGCATTGCCTACTGGAGTGGAGTATTTTTCTCTACATCTCTGAGACTCTTCTCTTCATTATGGTTAACTCTGATTAGGTAAAACAACGTGATACTATATAATTGTGCTCTTCTAGATGACTTTGACCCTGACAATTGTTTTTTTGTTTGTTTGCTTCTGTGTGAATGCTTGGGCAAGACTGAATTCTGGGCAGATTGAATTTATACATTTGAAAGCAAGCAGAAATTGATGTCTGAGAAGAAGTACAACAGAAGTTTTGTTTCTGATTTTTTCTTTCATTTAGACCTACTGAACTTCAGAAAGATAAGTTGATTACACCCAGCAGACTCTGTGGGATGATATCTCTTGCTTTGGTTAGCTGGAGCACTTGTGGTGCATTTGCTGTGCTCATTATTTATCTTCAATACTTGTTCAAGGTACTGAAAGGCTAAAGATTTTCTATTTGTAACTGAATTGAAAATTTTAGGTGCTTTGAATTAACCCCAGGTTAAAAGCAAAAATCCAGATTACCCTTTTTCACACGTAAAAGAAATGTTATTATTCTCATACTTGAAATAGGTATTTCTAATTTCTCACTGTCATAATTTTATCATCTGTAGAATTTTTTTTCTTCTTTTGTTTATGTTTCTTACAAAGAAACGTGTGGTTCTACATACCCACTACAACAATGCAGATAATTGAAAATTTTAACTTACAGCTAGGCAATATTATAAAAGCAAAGACTAATACCTCCCTTGAAGAGTAAGGAGTCCTCAATTTCTTTTCCTGTACTACAGCTTTTGTGTGAAGAATCCTTACTAAACAAGCAACTGCTTGTCTTACAGGTTGTAAAACTGCATGTAACTGTAAGAGCAGAGCAAAACAGGCACAATAGGGTGAGTCTGTTTCCTACTTCTGTTCCAAACTCTGGCCAAAAATTGTCTGGCAAACTTCTGCCTTGGTACTCTCAGGTTGTTCTGCAGTGACTGGGTAGCTGTAGTTCACTTGCTGCATGTGTGATGTGAAAGAGCAGCCAGGCCATGAGCAGGCTGCTCCATCACACATGACTGCTGTTTGAAGTTTCTGCAATGTGAACTTGTCCTCTAAGAAGAAAATTGTCTCTGAATACACACAGATTAACAGGGTTTGTCTAAATTTTGGTATTTGATTATGCATGGCTTATCTTAAAAAAATAATTCTAGGTGATAATTTATACTGCAGGTACTGCTTTTTCTAGAGGCAGCGTGTGGAGTTCAAGGTATTTTAGTCCAGAGATGACAGATAGGATGTATTAGATGAACATGGACTGAGACTGCAGTAAATAGGGAGCTGTTAAAAACACAGTAAAGAAGTGTTGGGTTCCATGCAGTGTGAACTTTGTTTTCTGGATTACTTTAAGGTATAGGATCAAAGATGTAAGCAGGTGTGGATAACAGCCTGTGATGACTACCTGCTGTTTTTTGCAAACATAGAACAAAGTCTGACACAAAAAGTTGTTTGTGGGTTGTTTAATTTGTGGGTTTTTTTTCCTGTCACTGGAAGTTAGTATCTGCCAACTTGTTTGTTTATCTTTGCTATTTATTCCTAGAGGTAATATTTTACTCCCAGTTCCATTATTTCCTAGATCTTTCCTGTGAATGATCATCTGTGACTTTTCATCCCCATGCTTTATTACTCCTTTCATTTTGTTCTTCCCCCTTCTAGGAACTGCTTTTCATTTCATTGGTGTCAGGGCATTTACAGTTTCCATTCTTTTCTTCCATGGACATATAAACTATTAGTGTATGAGAAATTTCTGGTTAAATTTAGATACTTTAAAATTTAACTTTACTCTTGGTGGCTTTTTGAGGCATAAATTGCAGATTTTCTTCCTAAATCACAGCTGGTGTGATACTGTTAGGGTATTTTTCCCCTCCTCTTTCCCCAGTGTGGGTTCTTACAAGCCTGTGCATGTTTTTGTGACCTCTGTCTTTTATTTCCAGGATTCAGGCCACTCAAAAGAAACTTCACAGAACTCCGGTACACACACAGTCAAAGCCCAGAGTTCAGTGGACAGCATTCCAGAAGAAACACAGTCTCCTTCCAACAGTAAAACACTTGCTGAAGCTGTTAACAGTCTCAAGATGCACATTACAGTCCTTAATTTATTCACATGGATTGTGCTGCTCAACTTGCCATCTTTAATTTATTGGTTAAAAAATCTCAGGTAAATTCTTAAATTGACACTAAGGTGGAAGAAAGTTATAGGAACCTTTGAAGATAATAAAAATTATAAATGTTTGATTCTTTACATTATTAGTTACCTTACAGTTTTAAAGACTTCTGTTAATTATTATTGTTTTCTCTATCCTTTCTGGTTTGCATTGTGGTGTAAATAGGTGTTAAGTGAATCAGTGATATGTTGAAGAAAGTAATGTTTCAGAAGGGGTTTGAAATCAGGCTGGGATGCCATACAGATTTCATGTATATTTTTTGTCATCAGCACATGGATATTTGGCAGCCTAGTTTAGAAGTGATGTGCTTTTTAAACCATTTCTTTGCAGGTACGATGTTAGACTTGATCCTGATCCCTGTAGATCCACAGCTATTATCCTCGTATGTATCTTAGAAATTCTCATGAATTCAAGCACTTCTGAAGTGAAATCAAGGTACTGTAACCCAATCTTGAGTTTTGCTTTCCTGCTTCTTTGTGAATTACCATTTGTATGGTAAAACTTAATTTATGTTGTAATTGTTCAGCCTCTACAGAGATTCATGAACTCACATGGTTAAGTCTAAAAGATAAGCTAAAATGTGTGCAAAAGTACCTCTAGTTCAGCTAGGAGGAAAAAACCCTCTGTATTTGCCACTTGGAAATAAATGAAGTATGTGCTATCTAAGCAATTGGCTGCATAACAACTTCTTGAAATGTGACTTTTTAACTCACAATTCATTGAATTCTTTCAAGTGTTACAGAATCAACATATGTTGAGCAATTATTGTCAGACAGTTACAAGGAAAAGGGAATTCTACAGCACTGTAGTTATGTTCTTGCAGCTCCCTTATGGGAGTAGAAATATACTGTGTTCTCTAGTGGATTAAGAAGTTCTGAGAACCTGGTTTTGCTGACAGAATATTTCTTGTTGACATATGGAATTAGTCAGTGCCTCATGAATGACAATCAGTAATAAGAAATGACATTTATCCTCTTGACCAGTACCTGTTACCTCAAGTGATTGAAACCATTATCTTCCTATGTTACAGAGAACAAATTTCTAAATCAATATTTTTAATGACATTAACCTTTTTTAATAATTTCTTTTGCTAATGCATCAATTTTTATGGCGTATTAGACCTAGTTGCTCAGTTTTAAAGATTAACAAAGCCTTGAAATAGAAATTATTTTGCAAAGGAAAATGAAATATGACATTTGTATACTTTCTGCATATGTGGCTACAAAATGATAATTTTTTTTCTCTCTGTTCTTACAGTAAGCTGTTGAAGATTGCAGCCAAAGTTCCACTCCCTTTGTCTGTTGCAATGCTGGCCTTTGGACGAATGCATTTATACAGAGTCCCACACTTTGTAACCTTTTCTCTTCTTCTACATGTGCTGTGCTGTTTTGTGTAATGTTCATTTTGTGTAGGACAATGCACTCTAGAAACTTAACACTGGAGATGGGAAAAATGCAACACAGAAATGCCTAAACTAATATGATCAGTAGTTTACATTATGTGGGAAAGAGGACAGAACTGTGAATACTTTACAGAAAATTCATGGGTTTATTCATGTTGCTTAGAAAACTTTTCCTGGTGTTTATTTCATGTCTCTGAAAATGGAGTGATTTAACTGTGTATAAGCACATGACTCATATCAGTGCAACATCTCAATACTCTGCCTTGTAGACACTTTGGTATTTCACTGTACTGCTTGTGCAAACAGACCTTTTTTACTCACTGTGCCATGCAGTGTCTGTGTTCTGAACTTGCATCTCTTGCAGGTCTAAAGTATGCTGGTTAAAACTCAATACATTTCAAGCACACTGTGACTATCACAAAAACCACACAGCCAAGTATACTTTGAATTATTTTATGTTATATCCAGAAGTTGCCACATTTGTGTCTAGACAAACTAGAATGTACTGCTTATATAGAACTGTTATTTCTATCAAATCATTTGTTCAATCAGTGTGAGTTGAACATTTGTGAGATTATTGCAAGTCTTACACATTTTACTTTTTGTGAGAGTGAGAAGACAACAGTATTCTATGTAGCTTTCTATTCAGGAAGGATACCAGCAGATTCATAAACAATTTGCTGTAATGTTGTTTTAAAACATTGTCAGTTTTCTCTGAATTAATTAATCCTTGGACTTTGTCCATATGTAGAAGCTAGCAAACGCTGAGATATGGTGTGAGTTAACAATGCATTTCCTGCACTCTTTCTAAGCAGACAAGGCAGGCTTTTTTCCTATTGTAAACAGAGAACCAACCATCTCCTAATAAATGCCAATACATAAAATTAATATGGAATAGTTACAACCCTGCAAGCTCCTGTCCTGCCATACAGTGCTAACTTCTGCATGTGGGCAAACTCAGTGATAGTGGGAAATACTGACCATAATTATTAGCTCTGTATAAATTCTATCTTAGTGCCTAGATGCTACAGTGACTGCCATTTATAATAAAGCCTACAATAGCTATGTGTAAGGAATTCTGTCCCCTGGGCATGTGTTTTGCCAACAGAAGAAATCTCAGCAGTCCTTAGGTTTAAATGATGTATTGATTCTGTGTAGAGATGAGCTTACTACTTGCTTCTGTGTTAGCTGTCTCTGCTGTGTCTGAGATACCTGTGACCTTCATCTGGAAATACCAGACCAGCTCAATCATCTTATAGGAATAGCAAGAGGAAATCTGCTGCTCACAGTCAATCAAGTATACTCTTGATACAGTAGTACAGCCAGCCTGACCCATTAATTCCATCATATCTTAATAATCTTGCCTAAGTGCCTCCGTTATTTCTAAGGTGTTGTTAGGGTCAATTCCTTTGAGCTGGCTGGAAAGACTCAATTCACACAGTAACTTTCCAAAATGAAGGACAAACGTGAAGAAAGCCACGTGTGTTTTGTTTGCTTATATCCATGTCAGCAGTTCAAATTATTAATAAGTCATTAAAAGTGCTGTAACTGAATAAGGGTATTGTAGTTAGCCAAACCACTGTCACTGTTAACAGTAATCTATGTGCTGGTATTCTAGTCTTAACCTTTTCAAAAAAGAAGGTTAGATTATATATAGTCTTTGTAAATCAGAAAAGTTCTTTGAATAGTTTACATCTTGATATTTTCTAATCAAATGTATGCTACATTAATATATGTATATAAGTTAATTTGTGTGACTCAATATACTTGTAGCTAAATGCACCAGTTGGTTTAACTAGAAATTGCTGTTCAGACATAGAAGAACAGAGTTGTTGTACTTGCAAATGGCTGTGAATGAAAGATGGTGGCAGAACTGCTTTTAGGGCTGGCAAAGGGCTGTGAAATGTGCAGGGTCTGATTTCTGTGGAAGATAGTTTTCCTTGACTTCTGTGGTCCATTTGGCTTACTACTCTATTTTACTTCTGATTTTGTTTTGCCACCGTAGCCTCTCCCTGCATGAATCCATTTGTTGGAACTGTTGGAAATGAAACAGACTTGATATTTAGTATCTTTGATAGCTTTCAAAATATGCCATAAAATGAAACCTACTGAATTACAGCAGCATAGGATAACACGATTTTTTTTTTCATTTGATGATTTTTTTTTTTAGCTGGAGTTCTAGTGATGATTGTTAGAACTCTTCATAAAGTGAGTTCTGGTATCTTGTGTATTTTCCTGCCTGATCTTCAAGTTGGAGGTGGGAATAGGTACAATCCTGAGTCTGAGATCCCAGATAACAAGAGTTTTTCACATCTCCCTCAACACTCCCTTTTCTCAGAGATGGTTTAGCTTTACTGGGGAAAGGAAGGGAAGTCTTAGTCCTGTTTTGAATTTAAATGCCTTGTGTGCCATTTAATAGATTTAAACTGTTGTCAGGGATGTGTGTCTGGATTGTGTAGTGATCATGGACTGGACAACTTCAACTATTTGGCGGATTAGGAGTCTAATCCCAATTAGATTTGCCATACAATCAATGGATAGTAATAGGATTAGAGCAAGTCTTAGAATTCATCCCCTTCTGAGAGAGGATGAATTCTCCTACTTGTCATTCTGAAAAGGACTAAATTTTGTAACAGTCTGAAAACAGTTGTTTTTCAGGTAAAATACAATGATTGTTTGCTGTTACTTTTGGACAAGAAGCTTCTGTTAGGTGAATCTGTAGTTCTGCCACTGTTCAGTTATCATTTCAGCAGAAACATATGATAACCCAGTGTGTATATATATATATATATATATATACACACACTGTTAATTGCATGTATAAGGGGATGTAAATATTACTGAAATATCGTTTATTATGAGTGGGCTGCATTTATAAAACAGCTTTTGGCAAATACATTATAATGTCTCTTACCACCTTCAATTACATTAAAATTCCCCTTTATTCTTCACATTTTAAATTATCTAGACTGTATGGGAGGAGACCAGGGCACAAATTGTAAGGGTTTAGACCTCAGGATGCATTTAAAATAAGAACTATTTATGTGGATCTATTACAATTTTTTTATAAGCCATCAGACGTAGAATGAGGAAACAGGGTAAGAACTTAAAATACTAAATGCCACTAACTTTTGGTACAGCAGAATCTTTCTTTGACAGGGAGAGATTTAATGAGAAGCTTTTGGTGATAGCTTCATACCCTGAAATTACTCTGGAAGTCTATAATCTTTTCTGCTTGATGTCATCAAACATGTTCCTCACAGTCTCATCATGCTGCATGACGTGTGTAGCTAACACTTCATAGAAAGTCTCTATGTGTCTGATAAGGAAAAACTCACATTTTCACTGGAATGACCAAATGTACCTTGGAACTGAGTGAATTATGTTGTCCAAAGCTAATCTTCTTAGTTGTGATTTAAAAGTTGCTGTGCAACATTTAGAAGTTGCAATGCACATTTCAGCATCCATTTCAAAGAGGATTGGTTTGGGGGTTTTGGTGGGAGGTTTCTTTGTATGTTTTATTTCCAAGAAACCTGCAGTAAATGGAATTTAAGTTAATATTATTTCTGACATTTAGAGTTCTGCTCTGATTTTGGTTTTGAGTGAGCTAATTCACATAGCAAATCATTCCTTACTATTAATTTGCTAAGTTTAAAAACAAATAGATGAATAATGACAAAACTGTAAGCAGTGCAGTAGTAATACATTATAGGAGGCATAGGGACTGCTGGTATATCTAAGTGAATTTTTCATCTATAACCTAATTGGACTAACTTTAAAGTAATTGAGTAATAAAATAAAATGTATTGACATTTAACCTCAAAAGCATTGCAGATGTCAATGTTTGATACATCTCATTTTCCACGTGTTTGCCAGTAACAAGTGATAAACTCACTTGGTGTTCTTCTGAAATCTGATAAATCTGATCCATCTGACAGCACAGAATAAAGTCTGTTATGTAGTCCTTAATAAATGTAAACATTTGAGAAACTTCCATTTGAATCAAGTTATTTCAGTACAGGGTTGAGTGTGTTTAGACTTTTGTTGCATTTATACTGAGATAAAACCAGCCATTTACTGACCTTTAATACTCTGAGCTATGACAATGTTTTTGGAAGTGCTTGAAGAGTCTGTACAGAATTGTGCTGCTGTTTTAAGTCACTAAGCTACCAGAAAATTGCTAGTTGTAAAGTAGACTGAATTCTTAGTGCTTATTTTCCATTTAATGTTTTAATGGCAAACGTTTCTCACTTAATTTACATCTTTGACTTTTTACATATTTTTTTTTTTCTGGGAGATAATCAGTCTAGCTTTTGTAAGCATTTAGCACTGTAAAATATAAAATGTTCATCACTGTTCCTTTAGGGGAGGCATACTTTTGTCACCAAAGCTACATACTGCTGTTCTATAGCCTGTAGGATATGTGTGACAATGAAGGACAATTCAGAACTAGTCAGTTTTTTTATTTTAAAGTACAATTTCTACCTTTTTTTTTTTAAGAGCCAGAACTTTGAACTAGAACATGAGAATCCATAAAGTCTTAAAAAATTTGAAAACCTTTTGCAAAGACTATAATTTCTGATGTATATTTTTATTTATGGGTGAATGTGTTCAAAGCTTTTAATCAGCTCATCTATCTTCAAACTCAAGTAAAAAGTATACACTTTGTCTTATTAATAGGCAAATTAAAATGCTGCTTTTAAAAATGAATTTTAAGCATTTAGAGAGAAAATTCTGTAGCTCTTACTTAAGCAGATCTGCCCAGCCCTCAATTTTTCAGATGTCTGAGCACATAACTGCCTCAAATATGTGCTTATTGCCTTGTAGGATGAAAAGCTGAACTGTGATATTTTGAATTTTCTTAAGATGTAAGGTTTCTTTCTGCATTTTTAAATGTAGACGGATTTTGCTATTCATGCTGTCATAAACAAACCTTGTAAGCATTGCCTCTCTGCAGTTATTGGCAGCTCTGGATTCTGTAGGAATGTTTGATGTCAGAGCTGAGTTTGTTCTAAAAACCAGGAGTGGTGAACATCGTATCTGTTATTTGTGGCGCAGCATTGCAGGTCCTCCTTCCCCATGCAGCTCTCTCTGCTTTGCAGTGTCCCTGCCCTGCAGTGCCAAGCAGGATGTTCCCAGAACAGTGGAACTGGCACTGACCTGGAGGAAGTGCAGCAGCTGTGTCCTGCAGACTCCTTCTGTTTGTGGAAATATCAGCCAAGTGTTTTCCCCCTCCAACTTCAATAATTTCAGTGTATATCTAAGTATCAAATGTGCAAGTGTGTTGATGTTTATTTTTACAAAAGGCTAAGTGCACTATTTTAGGATCCATTCAGGCTTCAGTATTTTCCACCCACTTCCGTGTGAGTTTGGAAACAGGATTTGAGACTGCAGCACCTGACAGCTGGAACACTTGACAGAAGTCTACAGGTAGTAGACAGGACATATATAATTAGAGTGCCAGACCAAAACTGAAATGTGAAATTCTTCACTGTGACTTTAAACTTGTAGCTTTCTAGTGAGAAAAAAAAAAAAATATATATGTATATACTGTGCCTTAAATCAGTCAATGAATACACTCTAACTGTAGCCTGTGGACTTCCATAGCCTTATATTTGATTTTTGAAGTTGACCAAAAATACTTGTGTGGATCATACTGAAACTTGATTTGGGGAAGAAGCTTAAAAAATTATTTTGACCCCATTTTGCACTTAGAGAAATGAAGATTTATGACAAGTGCAGCATATTTTTTGTTTGGAATCACACCAACCAAATCAGAAAGCTTTAGCTGACCTGAATTTTTCAAGCCTTTCTGTTCTGACCAAAAGAAAAATAAGGAAGGAAAACTAGTTGCAGATACCTGTCTCAGCTTTGAAGTGTGTGTGTCAAATTATTTTTAAACATTTTGATCTTTAGTCCTCAAAAATAATTTTAAAAATCTCTTAATTTTAGTTTAAGCAAAATACTGTATTGAAGCCATTAAATAGCAAAATCTTCACCAGTGTGAGAAGAAAACTAAACTGGGGCGGGGTTGATTGTTTGTGTTAAGACTCCAGAAGTTTTGAATACTAAATTTTACTTTTTAGGAAAAATATTCACATTTAATCCCATGTAAATCCCTGAAAGTTCACATGTAGATTCCCTTTTTTGGAGAAAAATAAAAATTACACTTTTTTATCCTGATTCATTAAAGAAAACTAGAAATACTTAAGATCTTAAAATCTTGTTTTAATATAGCAGAAGGATTTCTTACGTATATTTTTTAATACAAAGAGCTCAGGAAAAGCCACTGCTGGCTTTTCTTATTTGTCTCTAGAGGATTCTTTGTGTGTTCTGAACAAACCCCCCAAATTCTGATTTCCCCCTGTCGCATATAGCACTGAACCTTGGAAAGTGATGCCATCTCAGAGCTTATTGTTGTACTGGGGGTGTTCAGACATGCACAAAAACAACTGAGTGCCTGTCAGCTGGTCACAGAGCTGGTTTGAAGCAAAGTTATAAAACATTTCCTTTCACTGAGCTGCAGCTTCAGTCTGGGTGCCACAGTGCTGCTGAGCACAGCAAGGAACACACAATCTTTGTGTCTTCCCTGCTGCTTAAACTCATTCCAGTCACCTCACTTCTTATTTTGTGGTGATGTTTCAGCACTCCTGGCCATTGGTGATTTTCTAGCCACTGGAGTATTCTAGTATTGAAACCCTTGAGAAGGTAGAACTACCTTTAAGGCCGTTATGTATGATGATAACTTGAGAGAAACTGTGTAACTTGATTTCCCACTGAACTTTTAATTGTTTTTTCAAGCACAAAGACAGAGTAATGTTGGCCAGAATACCTGGTGTGGGTGGTTAATGGGGAGGGAACGATTTGTTGGTTGTAAAAGGACTTAAAACTTTGAAGAAAACATGTAATTTTGGGAAAAATCTTATCACTTCTCAAGCAATCTGTCTTAGAACTTTTTAACTCTTTCTCTGTTTTCAGTTCATATGTAGCTACCATAAATGTGATGTTGTACATGAACTCTTAATATTTACAGGTTATTAGAGATGTTGACAGGGTCTAATCTATACATGTGTGAATAATGCTACAGCAAATTACTGTCCTTATAAAAATGTTTATAACTAAGTTCTTACAGATCATGTCATATATCATGAACTTCAACAAAGTCCTTGTCTTGTGAGATGCTGAGGGAACCTTGGAGAAGAGGTATTTTCAGATGATGTAATTGCTGAAAGATGAAATATCATAGTCTTTAGAAACTGCATTTAGATACTTTTTTGTTGTAGTTGAGGGCAACTTGATTGGGAGCTGTTCTGGGATGTTTCTATTTTGTTTGGTGGTTTCCCTGGCTGCAGTGTGTACTTCAATTTTTTTTTTGTCTTTTTTTTGTTTTTACCTAAGTGTGCATGACTTTTAAGTACATTGTATAGCAAATCCCCTCTAAAGAAACACTTGTGTATATCTTTGTGTGGTATTCCAACGTGCTTGCGTTGGTACAAATGGTTGTAACTCACAAGAAGTGCCACTTGCCAGTGCTGCTCTGTGGAGTGTCGTGTTACCTGTATGCTGCTGTACAAACGCTGATGAGTGTCGTGAGCAACGGCTGCCTTTAGGCTTGGCTCAGGTACTCATGTGGAGCAGTTTGGTGCTTTTCCTTCTGACTTGTAAGACTTGGGATTCTCTGCAGAAAATAAAAGTAGTAAACAAAAGCCTTGTGGTTGGAGCATTGCTTTAACAGGTGCTTCTTTCACACCTCAATGCAGTAAAGATAGTTGGATAGATAGGATAAAGCTTGGCTCAGTATAACTCCAACACTTAGGCTTCGTGACTGGGAAATGCAATAAAATTCGAAGTGTTTGCTGAATATTACAGTTTATATAGAGTATCATATGTATAAAATTTGTTCTCGGCTAAACTAGTATATTTAAAATTTTTACATTTCAGAGGTGAATTGTGTGGAATTGAGCAAGAAATGCTATCAGCATTTTCATCTTCACAGCAGTTTAATTCAAACATACATGAACATTAATATATGTGCTAGAAAGGCTATATAATTAATATAGACACTTTAAAAATATTTGATTTATTGAAGATGTTTATCAGGAAAACCTGATGCTTAAATTTGGGTGCATTAAAAAGGCAACACCCTGACATCTGACTTTGACAGCCTTTGTTAAACTTAGCTACTGTCCTCAAAAATGAGGATGCAATTTAATTCAGTCAGTGTAAGTATACTAATAGTATTTTAATATGAATGTGTTCTGCTTATATTTGACTTTCCCTGAAGGAAAAAATTGCAATTACTAAAAAAAGACCCGCCCACACATTAAAATGAGCTATAGGTCAAACAGACTTTTTAGCTCCAACAGTTTCTCAGAGCTTTAGCTCAGGAAGCAACAATACAAGTGTGTATAGATTTTTTTTTTTAGACAGCTCACAGAAAATATATGCTAATTGAATCTCTTGCATATCTGCATGCTTCATCAGTCACCCACATTGCCTGAGTTCCTCCAGTAACAAAGCTGGTTTCATATTTGCAGATGAATTTGGTATGTTTTACTAGCTGAATACACTGCATATTCCCAGTTCTTTGTAAAGAAACCAAAGGAATAAATTAATTGACGGGGAAAAAAGAGGTAGAAGAAAACTGCCAGCTCTTCTGGCTTTTTTCCCCCCCCTCCTCTATCGAAAGATAAAGAAGGAAGTAAAATCTAATCCCAAACTGTAAATCTTGCCTTTTCCCCTTCCTGTCATTTTCTCTATAGAAGCATATTTCTACTTCTAGCTGAAATAAGTATCTCACTAGAAGATCAATAAAGACAGTTCCCTTATGCTGGGACCTGCCTTTTTCAAGTTATTCTGGTGCTACTGCTTTGTTCTTGAAGTTGAGTGTTATGAAACATAATTAATGGGGCTTAATGGATTTTCTTTTTTGTGTGTATGATTTTTTTTTTTAAATCCAAATATGCAGGATAATAAACAAGCTGGATAAATTTTCTTGAATTTTTATGCACCACTGCTAGGATTTTGTTTACTGTGTTGCTAATGATGTTTGGATGTCCAAAACTTCACCTTCCTGGAAGGGTGGTGGCAGGTTTTTATTTTGCTTTCGAAATTTAAACCAAAGAAAAATGTAAAGCTTCTAGTCAGGCATAAACATCTACACTTCGGAGTAATGTGATGGTCAAATATTTTTAACTTTAGCATGTCTATTTAGGAACATATTTTATTTGATGCTAAATCATGTATCATCTACATAGTGGAGAGAAGAGTGCAGTGAAATAATAAAAAATATGAGCAGCTTTGGTATGAAGAATGCTATGCACTAAGGCCAAGGTAAATTAGCAGAGTCCTCCTTGCAGCCTTTGACTTAGTTTCTAGTGTGACAGGAGGATATTAACTGCTGATAAAATCAGGGTAGGAAAGCAATGGTTCCATTAAAATGTTATGATTTTCGATATTGAAGCAGACCTTACTTTTCCCTATCTTTTTCCAGCATCGAGAGAGATCCATATCTCATTTACTTGAAAACCATTAGTCACCATTCTAGAGATATGGCTAATTACTTTAAGCTAAAAATAGTATTTTGATAAAGCTGTGCCATTTCTCCTGGGAATTGTTTTAAACTTCCTGTATGCCTGCTACCAATTTCTGCAATACGGCTTGGGAGGAATTTGTGCTGCACTGTTCGATAGCAACAGGTCTGAAGAGTATCAAGGATGAAACTCTCAAGGGTCTTTATGTCATGGTTGGAAATGGAATCATTACTGTATTTTTGAGCTCCTGCTAACGTCATTGACACCCACCTACAGTCTACTAGAAATATAAGTGCAGAGATCAGGTTGTTCACAGATTACGAGGAGACCAACCAAGAAGGGGCAAGCCAAAGCCAAATTCCCTGGTAAGCTCTATTTTAAAGAATGTGAGAGGGAGAATTCCTTTTCTCCCCCTGAATCAAGTTGTGAAATGGATCTCTAGTATGTTAGACCAGGCTGTATTAAATGCCATTGCACTTATTATATGTAGTAAAATTTTATGTAGTTTTGTAAAACTGAGCTCTCTGGATCTTGAGTCATATTTTTGCATTCTCCTTGGAGCATATAGAGGTCTGGTACTGTATTAGCCACTGAAAATGGCTTTATGTAATGAAGGTAATATTTTGTTTTGAGTGTTCTACTGGTCCCTCAGAAGAGAGTCCAATGTCTAGAAATAGCTTTGGTATGGGAAACACTTGGTTAGAATGAACAATTTGTTCTTCCAAGGACCTTGGTACTATGAAAAAGAGTTGATAGCACATGGATGTAATCTGCAGTGGGCAGACTTTGCTTGGATCCACATGATTTGTGTGTTCCCATTGACAGCTCTGTAGGATTTAAGGAGTGTCTGTTTGCCCTTCTTACAGGCAGTCTGTTCATCTCCAGCATGTGGAAAGTGCTGCTCCTGGGACTGTATGTAGTATTGGCTGTGAGAGGACTGGAAAAGGGTGCTCCTTTCCAACCAGAAGATAAATGGAAGCCTCTTGATAACCCCAGAAACAGAGACCTGGTAAGGAAATGTTTCAAGAAGGAGAGCTGCAGTTCTGTGTGGTTTTTTGTTTTCCATGAGACTCCTTATTGTCTAATTTTAAAGGCAAGAGGGGCCCATTAGATGTACCGTTAGGAGCTGTGCACTTTGCGTGGTCAATAACCATTTCTCAGTCAAGATGCACCCCTTAACTAAAGAGACATCCTCGGAGCACAGCAGTGCATAAAATGTGCTTGTGTCTCCATCCAGCAGCTTTCGTTTTTAAAAAATTATTTTGATTATACAGCCACTTGTTTTATGAAACAGAAGGGGAATGATTACTGTGTTTCTTTCACATGTGTGCTGTGATTGCATGTTGTTTCATCTCATGGAAGTACAAATAAGTTTGCATCTGATAGCTAGGAAAATACCACTCAGAGAATGTTTGCACAATCTTAAAAAGAATTGTGAAGGAAAATAATCGGTTTCCCAAAATACTTCCTCAGTGTTTTAAGAAGCTTTAATTTCTCCTTGGAAGTGATTGTAAGGGGACAGTTCAAACCATTTGCCCACTGTTGCTGACTCTTACTGAAATGTTTGCAGAAGTGTTTGCTCTCAGCAGGGCTTTGGCTGTGCCTGTTTTACAAGGGGTGCAGTTATCTCACAGCCCCTGTGGTTCAGTGGGGAGCATAAATGAGCAGGACACAGCTGCTGCTCTTCTGACTTCCCATGAGATGCACGAGCCATGGATGGAGTGGGCATGTCTGAATTAGGTTGCCTACACTGGTATCAGGTTATGATCAGAATCGAGGATTTCATCCCACAGAGGAATAAACATGACATCTAATTTGTGTCAGTAGAAATAATTAGTCTCCATGGGCCATGCTCTGTTTATTTTCACATCCACAATCTGTTCAGTTTTTCAGAACGCTCCAGGCTTACTTCTCGGGCAGGGGTCTCGATCTCAGGAAGTTCCCAGCCACTTTCACTGTGAACAATGAAGGACCAAGGCTCTACTCAGATCCTATTGCTTCTGCGTTTGCAGATTATGAAGAAAAGAAAAAATCCTTTCAGAACTATTTCAAAGGCTGAAAGGTTCTGCTGATGAAGGTAAAAGAGGGTGCCCTGTCCTCTGATGTTACGTGTAACCAAGGAAGAGTCTGACAGAAGTATAAAAGCAGCTTCTTTTTCAGAGGGAATTAAAAATGTAGTACCCTAACCCCTGCCTGAAGTGGGGTTTACAATTCTTGAGGCAGAGATTTATGAGGTCATTACTAATTAGACAAAATAACACATGGTGCTTGTGCAGATCTGACCCTGATTTTTTTTGTTTTCTCTTTTTTTCTCCCCTCCTTCATAATGGAGGAGAATTCTGAAAATGTACAGATAATAGAGGATGCAGATTTTATGGAAGGAATTGAAAAAAGTAAGATTACAAATTGAGATTAATTAATGGTTTCTTGTGATGTATGTATATTAAGAAAATTAATTCAGGCATAAGTCATTGCACTAATAAAGCATACATTATCCTTCACATTCACAATAAATAGTGTTTTCTTTTGGTTTACAAATAGCTGAGAATTTCAATAAGATTTAAATCAAAGCATTTTGGTGATTTACTCAGTATCTTAAAGTGTTTAATTTGTAATCAATATTCAGCTTAGGATTTCCAGCTCTCTCCTGTTCTTGGCCTGCTTAACACCTTGTCTGTTTATTATCAAAATCAAAGCTTTGTTCTTATTATCATGAGCAACAATAAAGATTGCACTCAAATTTTAATACTAAATTCTCTTTTTATTGAGTTATGTCATGAAAAATAGGGGCACCACAGAATGTGTTATTTTGTGCATAAAAAAAATGAAAAGGGAATTCTGAAGGGATGCTCTACTAGAAGTCACAGCAGCGGTGAGAAAATGACTAGTGGAAGTTTTGTCCTGCATCATTCAGGATGGTTGTAGTTCTTTTCAGTGTTCAGAACTGTTTTGTGGGAACAGAGGTTCAGCCAGTGTTCTCTTGTCTTGGTTTGGATCATACCTTTGTTGCTTATGGATATTTCTGTATTTGTCTCACGTATTTGTATTTTTTTTTCTCTAGGCATTAACTTCAGAACTCCATGCCAAGTGGAAACCTTCAGAGCAAAATTTTACTGCTTTGACTTTTTAACTGTTACCTGACAATTCCAAAGTTTCTTCACTGTCACCGTTTCTGCCGATGGAAGCTGGTGTCCTGCTGCAATGAGCATTATTGTGTCTGTTGACAAATGTCTGCAGTCTGTCAGCAGAATTGTGCTTAAGTATGAATAAATGGGGAGTGCAACAGCGTGCATTTAACTCCTGCCACGTGTCTTTGTTCAAAGCTGGGAAATAAATGTTGCCTTTCAGTTTATTAGAACGAGATGTCCCAAGGTGTTGTGTGGCAAGTGTTCAGACCCTCTGTGGGTCCAGCCCCTTTCTTGGGGGCCCTCTGGCCCCGGCTGCTGCCTCGCCGGGCCGCGCACGCCCCTTTCTGCCCGTGCCCTGCTCGGAACTGCCCCATCCCTCTGAGTACGGAGTTAAACCCTCCGAGGCAGCAGAGCCCGCCGTGCCCCGGCCGTGCGCTCGGTGCCCGCCATCGCTCCCGCCCTGCCCTCAGCGCGGCCGCCGCCGCCCGGAACTCGCGCGGGCAGGCGCGGCTGCGGCGGGCGCCATAGCGGGACGGACGCGGTGCCTCCATCAGACGGTTCCCCCGGGCCGTGGCGGAGCCATGTCGGGCTTCAGCCCGGAGCTGATCGAGTACCTGGAAGGCAAGATCTCCTTCGAGGAGTTCGAGCAGCGGCGCGAGGAGCGCAAGAGCCGCGAGAAGGTGAGTCTGCCCCGCCTGGCCGCCCCACGGCTCGGGCCGCCACCCTCATGACAGCACCTGGCAGGGCACGGCCCGCTGCCGTGTGTGTGGAGGGGCTTCGCTCGCTGCCTCTGCGGCTCCGGAGTTGCGAACTTCTGTGCCCAGATGGCGGCGGCCCGGCAGCACCGCGGGAAATCGGTGCTTTGGGTCGGGGCGAGGAGCTGCCTCGGCTATAAACTCATCCAGACTGTGCTGCTACAGCTCCCCCGCCAGCGCCTGAGGGAGAGAGCCGCTGCGGCTCCGCGTGTGGCTTCTTGGCAGCGGTAAATAGAGGCAGACGCGGTTCGGTGTCCGACGCTGTGTAGGCGGTGTGATTAAAAGAAAACACGCCTGATTTGTCGGAGTGTTGCGGTTCTTCTTAACTTTGCTGTGTTTGTGTCCAAGTGCTACTGAATTTGTGCATTTCTTGGTCTTCAGAGAGCAGATTCAGCTGAACTCAGCTGTCATGGAATGATAAGTGTTACCCTAGGGCAGCATTCTTACCGGATTAACGAGTGCTGGATTGATACTGGCAGGCTTCTGGAAGGATTTATCGCTCAGAGTTTTTTTTTCTAATACAGTCAACCATCCCACCTCTCTGTAATGCCAAATAAGCAGTGGACTGGTCTCTTCAGTCAAACGTAGTGTGAACAGTCACCATCTGAGTCTCCCCACACTGATAAAAAATATAAATGTCCTGAAAGTAAGGAATGCTGGGTTTTATACACTTAAAAACTGTGCTTATCCCACCTGTTTCACTGGCAGTGCAAAGGCTGGAAAGCCAAGTGGTAACTGTAAATGTAGGGAAATAAAAATGGGTAATTCTATAAAGGTAATAATTTGTATTTTTGGTGTGTGTAGGATGGTGAAAATGCATCTGCTGAGGAAAATGAGGAAGATGTAGAGGCTCCATCTTCATCCAGAAAAGCATCTGGGAAATCCCAAAGTCAGGATGAAACTGATGGTTGGTGTTTCTAACATAATCATGTTATGTGTTTTAAAAGGCACTGGAAACATTTGCTCTTCAATAACTGACTTCATAAAAACCTGGCTCCATTCTTCCCCTTCTGGTCTCTGAAGGAACTGAAATAAAAGGGACATTAAATTAATAATTAAGTGTTTTTTTCAGGTGGGGGCAGGGGAAGATAAGTCTTACGTTTAGATTCTTAATATCCAAGTCAGAATAAAAATAACTAAATATATGCAAGTCGAAAAAAATAACCACAAACCCGGGTGTGGTCCCCATGTCCCTCTCCTATATATGCAATACATGGTAGATTTATGTCTCAGTCCCAGCTTGATGCTGTGGTTATTTTTTAATAAAATCTTCAGGTGTCCAATCCTCCAGTTCAAACCTTTGAACCCTACATATTTGGAATTTTTTATTATAGATCTGTGGTCAGCTGTAACCCTGGGTTCACTTCATAATGAGAAGCTGTAAATAAAAAATGGAAATTTCTTAAAAACTATATGCCTTAAGCATATCTTACTTATTTTAAAGAATTCTGTTCTTTTTCCGAAGAAATGCAAATAACATGAATTTTGTATTTACACATGTTAAAAGGTACTTGCTGTCATGGATGGAATGGTTACAAGATCTTGTTTCAATGGCTTTGAAAAATTGGTTGCTGGATTGCTGTATAGTAGAATTCTGTGCTCACTTACAGCCTTTTCAGCTGAAAAGCTTATTGCAGCCAGCCAGCTCAGTGCTGGAAAATTGCTTAATCTTCTTCTGGACTGAGAAAAATGTTGATTAAACTGTGGCTTCATTCTGTCTTGTTCCTTCCTGCTTTCATTTCAGATATCTAAAGATGTTACAGGCTGGGCCATACCAAGCATTGGTGATGAATGATGCAGAGCCTTAAAACCAAAGAGGCTGTCAATAGTTTTTCTGCATTTCTGCAGGCAGCACTCTTACAGAATAGCTGCTTCAAGTGGGCTGCTGTTTTCTCTGTGCTTGTCCACGGAAGCAGCTTGTGCTCTTCATTATATCATAAACCTATTTTACTTCTTTGGCAACCAGGAGAAACAGCAGATGGGGTCAGTAAATCTGTCCATCGGGTCTTTGCATCCATGCTTGGGGAAAATGAAGAGGAGGAGGATGAAGAGGAGGAGGAGGAGGAGGAAGAAGAAGAAGAAGAAGGAGGAGGAGGAGGAGAAGGAGAGGAAGAAGAAGAAACTACAGAGCAGCCTACAGCTGGAGATGTTTTTGTGTTGGAGATGGTTCTTAATCGAGAGACCAAGAAAATGATGAAAGCAAGTGTTTAAACTTTCATATAACTTCCATTGTCTCCTGAACATAGTGCATGAATGCCACTTTTTGTGACTTTTAGCTGCTTACTGAGAAATTTGCCTGAAAATTGTTCCATGTAGGGTAATCCTGCTTATGCTGGTGTTTGTTACGCTGTCTTTGTTTATTATAAAAGCACTGTAATTTACGGTTTGAAAGCTTTCAGAAATCATGAAATCAGTTTTCCCAGTGTCAGAAAACTATGAACATTAGCAAGTCTTTTGGTCAGTTATTTATTATTGCTAATACGTAAATAACTTGGTGTTAGGTGGTGTTAAGCACAACAGGGTGTCTCCTGAATTTGGGCACAACTCAACCTTGTTCCCTTTTCCATTTAGGAGAAGAGACCTCGCAGCAAACTTCCCCGTGCCTTGAGGGGTCTGATGGGAGAGGCCAACATCAGATTTGCTCGAGGAGAGCGTGAGGAGGCCATTCTGATGTGCATGGAGATCATTCGACAAGGTATGGGAGAACGGGCAGCCTTTGGGCTTTTTAAGGATGAGGTGAAGTTTCCATGTGCAGGAGGAGGATTCAGTGTGGCTTCACTGAAGATGAAAATCAACTGTACAAGCAAAGTCACGATATAAGGAGTAGAATTAAGAATTGTGGTGCACTCCCTTTATTTTTTTGCTTATAACAAGAAACTAGCACCCCTATTCTGCAGAGGCCCAGGCCTTGGCTTAGCTGTACACAGTTTGCTTTTACTGTCTTTGTAGACACAAGGTATAAGCATCAGCATGCCTTGCAGTGTAGAATAATACTGTGAATGGTTGTTGTTAGATTCAGTCAGCCTGTTTAATAATTTACAGACAGGAATGAGAAACTTGTCTACAAGTTTTTCCTGAATTTGAACAGCACATGTTTCATATCATTCTGATACCCGTTCTTTGAGAAAGGGAAGTTATTTGTTTCTAGTGTGGATTTTAAACAATAAATCTTAGTAATTCTTTTTCTTTTCACAGCTCCTCTTGCTCACGAGCCATTTTCCACTCTTGCCATGATCTATGAAGACCAGGGGGATATGGAGAAATCACTACAGTTTGGACTGATTGCAGCTCACTTAAATCCTAGCAATACTGAGGAGTGGGTTAGACTGGCAGAAATGTCACTGGAGCAGGACAATATTAAGCAGGCTGTTTTCTGCTACACAAAAGGTAGTGTAGCAAACACTTTAATAATTCAAAATTAATGCTATGTGCTGATGGCAATTGTTCTGTTTTCTTCTCCTTTCTAGTTTAGTTTGCTTCGGGGTGCTAAGATTTCTATACCTCTGTGTAGACTTTGATAAATGAATCTGCAATCTTGCAAAAACCCTGTGCATGTCCATGAACACAAGGAAATGAGTGTGAAATCCACTGTTGCATTTCCTAAACTGCCGCTGTGCTGCTGCTTCCTCCCGTAGCTCTGAAGTACGACCCGACCAACGTGCGCTACCTGTGGGAGAGGTCCAGCCTGTACGAGCAGCTGGGCGAGCAGAAGATGGCCATGGACGGCTACCGGCGCATCCTCAACCTCCTGGCTCCCTCCGACGGGGAGCGCTTCATGCAGCTGGCCCGAGACATGGCCAAGTGAGCCGGGCTTGCAGACACCGGGCTTTGCTTTGCCACGGGAGCCTTGTGGTTGAAGTGTGTAGCTCTCACACAGTAGTTTTTGACCTGTCAACTGCTTTCTTGTGGAAAGGTGTTGCTGCCTGTTTCAAAACAGATTAAGCTCTTTTGATCTTCGTGTTTGGGAAGTGGACCAAAAAATACGAGGATGTAAATTATAACAATGTTATTAGTGAAGGTTTCTTAAAGCAGGTTGATGTGGGACATGATTGATGCCTGTCTTCATTGGAGAAGTGAAATGAAAAACTTCAGTAATGTCCTAACAAACAGGGGAGAAGAAAATTGTTAATTATTTGAAATATGTAAAAGTTTTCAACAGTTGTAAGGAAAGGAAAACCACTCCCTTTCTCACTGTCTTTTGTGACATCCACTTGCTAATTAAAACCTTTGCTAAAAACCAAAAATCAGAGAAATATGAAAATCCTCTCGCTTCGATTCAAAGTATACATTGTCAGTTATGTGAATTACCTGCTGTTTCATGTCTGTATTTTACAGGAGTTACTACGAAGCCAATGATGTCACCTCTGCCATTGAGATAGTGGAAGAAGCCTTTACCAAGCACCAGAGCC